CTGCATTAATCTACCTGTTCCCGTCTGCCCCTGCAGGCTAGTAGACACAGTTTATCAATTTGGGGCAGTGGTGATTGGAGATCATTCATTTGAAGGTATTTATTCAAGGGACAGAAGTCAGAGGTGAAGTGGTGGGTCTTATAGAAAAAACAGAGTGAAACACAGCGCTACACATAGACACAACACAAGTACAGAATGATCATGTCATAAAAAATGTCCAATGATAGTGGAAGTTATTTCTCACATCCATAGTAGAAGTATTATTAAAACATTGGGACGTTAAGTGAAGCAGTCCTTCATAGTAATCTTCAGAAGGTATACCACACCACGTCATCCGTGAGGGACAAGTGTGCAACACCACTTGGTGTGCAACCACCACCACTAACCTCAGCAATATGACCTACTATGACTTCAGTCAAAATGCACTTTAACCCTTTTGTACTAAGGATAATGACTGATCTTCCTTCAGACTGGTAAATGGTTCCTCTCCAAGGGTCTCAGGCATGATCAACGTGTGTTCAAAATTTAAATAAAAAAAAAAAATCATAGTGTACTTCATATAATTGCACATTTAGTAAAAATAAATAAAAATTCACTCACAGAGTGCACAAAGCTGGTACACTGAAGGGTAAACCTACGTCTCCAAAGTTTCCTAATGTGAGGACTGCACCTTGAGGGAAAAACAGTCTTCAGCTGTAGAGTGTACCAACCGCCGGGTACGAGTATGCACTCTTCATTCCATGCCTGTACTAGTCTCACAACAGAGTCTGGTGAAGTGGTGGGTCTTGGGATCCTTTTGGCTGCAAATGATCAGGTCATGGGATGGTTATAGTTATCAATGGAAGAGCAGAGTGATTGATCTTTGTGGGCCAGCTACAATGTTGTACAAAGGAAATGAGTGAACATTGGGGCTCAGCAACACTGAGCATGCTAACCAGTCTGATAGGGTTGTGGGAAGAGAACCTGGATCAGTCTTGGGAGAAGGGAAGGGGAAGGACAGGACTAAACTGAAAATTTTGAGAGTCGAGAACATATTCCGGGTAACCAGAACAGACCAAACGTGATTTGTTGCAAGGCAAGAAGCGAGGCCAGCAGCCTGGTGTCTCTAGCCAGATTAAATTAGGTAATTGTTGATATCTAGAGGGAATTTAACTTCATTCCCATAGCACCATTTTTTGTTTTGATCAGAGATATGGTCTTTGAGAGCTACTGTAAGATCCTCCATCTCTTGAATACCATGCACTCCATTATCTCAGAACAGTGAAGTTAAATTTTAGCTCTGATTGGAGTTGGGCTTTAAAAACCTAACAGTAATACGGATAGCACCACTTGTTTTCTGACCACATTGTTTACAGCCATTTGAATTTGTTATCATTCTCTTTCACTAAGCTCAGATGAGTTCATTCCCCAATGGCAGTTAGTAATCCTACAGTATATCCTCTTTCCTAGTCTTCAATCATGGGTTTCTAGCTGGCACTGAATATCCAGGAGGGGAGCATTAAAATAAGAGCCAATAACATTTTGTTTAAGTACAGGTCAGCTGAAAATCTGTAGGAAGAAGGAGGGGAATAGACCAGGATCTTTAGAGCAAATGTGATGTAAGCTACAAGCATATGAAGCATTTCCTTAAGGATTTTTTTTTTTGGGAACGGAGATCCTCTCAAGATTTTAATTTCCACAAATAGAGTAGGTCATTGACCCTGTGAATTCCATTTCCACGCCACCACATACAGTGATTACGAAAAATGCTTTACAGCAATAATACACCCAATGGTTTTTGTGGGTTTTTTTGGTAGACAGGAGCTGTCTGTGTCCCTGTGGGGAGACTCACCCTCACTTTATGTCCTGGGAACCACTGTCACTTGCAAACTCCAAGTGGGCTTTCATGTGTTCTGCATGAGGAGAGACTTCTGTCTAGCCACTGTGCCTTAAAGCCCAGATCGGTGGAGGGCTGCAATGATTGTTGTCCTCCTGAAATATTGTCCCATCTCCCACACAGGATTTCTGTCAGAGTGACCATTAGGTTCTTGGTCACTGCTCTTAAGGCCCTTCTCCCTTAATCGCCCAGTTTTGTCCAGCAGCCAGCTTTAGGAAGAGTCCTGGTTGTGCCAAACTTTTTCGATTTGAAAATTATGGAGGCCACGGTGCTCTTGGGAACCTTCAGTGCAGCAGAAATTTTATGTAGCCTTCTCCAGATCTGTGCCTTGCAATAATCCTATGTCTGAGCTCCGCAGGCAGTTCCTTTGACCTCATGGCTTTTGCTCTGATACAGTATGCATTGTCAGCAGTGAGGCCTTTTATAGAGAGGTGCATGCCTTTCCAAATCATGTCCAATCAATGTATTTACCACAGATGTACTCCAATCAAGGTGTAGAAACATCTCAGCAATGATCAAGAGAAATGGGAGGAACCTAACCTAAATTTCAAGCGTTGTTGCAAAGGGGTCTGAATACTTATGCCAATGTGATCGCTCAGTTTTGTTTATAAATTTTAATAAATTCACAGACATTTCTAAAATTTTGTTTTCACTTTGTCATTATGAGGTGCTGAGTGTAGATTAATGAGGAAAAAAAAATGAATTCAAACAAATGTAGTATCAGGCTGAAACATTTTTTTTTAAATATATTAGATTTGCTCAGTTACTCGATACCTTCCCCTCCCAGTGGTTTAGGTAAAATGGTACAAGCGTGACTTTGCACACACCAAAAAAGTACTGTGATGAAATATTTTCTAAAATCTTACTTGTGACCAAGCTCATGAGCTATAGTAAAAGCCAAATTAAGACCATTATCTTCTGCCAGGACACATTTACGCTTAGGGCTGCATGCTCCTCCAAGGTAGGCGATTCCTGTAGATAAAATGGAAAGACAAATAAAGCTTTTAAACATCAATGTCATAATTTTGTTTACAGGTGCATTACCGGAGTAACAGCAATTTGCAAAAAGTATAGTATTGTTTTGGTGCACAAAACAGTGATCACACTAAAGGTTTTTAAATGGATACCATTTTTGTGATGAAGTTGTGTGACCATCATGGGAGTCACAAACATGCTCACAAGGCAATGAAGGAAGTTGGCCACACTCCAATGACATCAGCCTTCAAAAAGCTTTATTATTCTAGGACTAATTCACAAAAGGGTCTGCCCAGGCCAAGTCCTCCCAGACCAAGCCACACTCTGACGTTTCACCCAAAAATGGCTTAGTCACAGAGATTAGAGGAAACAGGAGGCTTGATCTGGGCAGACTTCTGTGATCCTGGAATAATAAAGCTTTGTGAAGCCCAATGTCATTTGGATTGTGGACAATTTGCTTATTCATTCCACTGAGGAGCTCCATCAGCCTCTATGTGAGGAATATTGAGGCGATCCATCAGCCTCCATATGGGGAACATTGAAAAGCTCCATCAGCCTCTATGTGAGGAACATTGAGGAGCTCCATCAGCCTCCAAATGGGGAACATTGAAAAGCTCCATCAGCCTCTATGTGAGGAATATTGAGGAGATCCATCAGCCTCCATATGGGGAACATTGAAAAGCTCCATCAGCCTCTATGTGAGGAACATTGAGGAGCTCCATGAGCCTCCATATGGGGAGCGTTGAGGTGCTCCATGAGCCGACACCTGAAACCACAGAGATGGGCAAATTGAGGGCTTTGAGCCACAGTTTCCTTTGGTACTATACTTACAAGACAAGACTCCAAAAACCCAAGGGTAAAATTAAAAATACAAATTACAGAACATGCAAAAGAGCTACATAGATATAGTGGTTCCTGTTTTTCAAATCCGGGACTCAAAGATCTGAAGCATGTGGGAACACCATATTTGGCCAGGTAACTAGCATTTTAGAAGAAAGGTCAGCAACGACAGCCTCTACGTGGTAGAGGCTTGTAGGTGTGCATGTGAAATGGACCTAAGGATTTGACTTCTATATATACTCAAATTAACACAAACAAAAAATTATTTAAAGCTATTTTGGATGATATAGAGTTGATAAATAGGACATTTTTGCTGTCAGTAAACAGTTTCAGAATGTGGAATATCAAGAAATGAGACTATGCCTTATTAACCAAAGCAAATTGCAAAGTGAGTTTGCAAATTGCAAGCCAAGTGCACATTGCACCATACAGTACCAGTCATTAGTTCCCCACAACTGGTCAGCAAGGAGAGGCCTTAATGAATGTACAATTATCACACTGCCAATAGCTACTCCCCTATGCGTAACTAATATTGGTGTTAGAGGTCAAGCACCAGCTGTCCCAGCAGCTGAATAAAAGTTTTCTATGTAGACGTAGTGATTTCCAGTATAATAATAATAAGAAAAAAAAAAAAAAAAAAAAACACGAAAAAGCTGCAATGACTAGGATTAACCCACATATATGAAGAATAATTATCAAGGAGAACCTGATACCTACATACCGCTGCACAAAACCTCATGCTTACAGATATGGCAAAACAGGTGTTACACTGATTGTGCAAATACTGTACTTTGTATGTCAACCTTTTCTAATCCAGCCCATGAGATTGCCATCATCGAGACCAGCAGTCTCCAAACTCTAGCCCACAGAACAGATGTGGCCCTTTGCTTGCCTTTATCTGGCCTTTGGAGTACTGTCCCACCCACTGATATGACCCACTATTCCTCTGACACCAATAATTGGGGGCACTATTCCTTCCACTGATAAACAACTGGGCCCTATTCATTCCACTAACACCAACCACGGGGCACTACTCATTTCAATGATGCCAACGAAAGGGCACTATTCCTCCTTCTACTGATCACAGGCGTATTTTATTTTTTTTTACTCCCATAGACCACCAAGCTTGGCGCATTGTTGACTCCCACTGATGCTTATGAAGTGTCTACTCCCATTGGCAAGAGTCCGGCCCCCTTCTACTGTGAAGGTCAGTAAACTGGCCCTTTGCTTAGAACATTTGGAGACCACTGATCTCGACAGCTATGTGTATTCAAAACAGGGGCGGACTGACCATTTGGAAACTCGGCACTGTCCGAGGGCCCGGGGTCAGTAGGAGGCCCCATGAGATGCCCCTGGTACCTTTTTCATAGGCTTTTTTGAGTTTGAGCAAGGACACAGGGGCCCCATGATCCCCTATTGCCCGGGGGCCCCATGAGTTGTCATCCACCCCTAATTCAAAAGTATTCCTTAATAAGTAAAAAGATTATTTCCAAATTACCAACTATGCTTCTGAGATCTTTGCTTAGCATTGCAACACATTTTCTCCCAATTAAAATGTATCTAAAGGCATTGCTTTTGGTCCTGAATAGAGTGGGTTTGAAAGGATAGAAATGTTGATAGTTTTGCCATTTGTGTCCAACGCTGGGAAGATTTATGCTCTTTACTCGCCCTGGTGACCATTTTCTTGTATAATCTTTGTTTAGGTGCACACATGCAAACCATTCATCATACCTCATGTATATTTACTGGTTTGATTTTGTTTGAAACTTTTGTCTACTGCCAAGAGCAAGTCACATTCTCAATAATGGAGGCTGCAGTATCTCTACTAACGTCCAGCCTACTACAAGCAGTCCCCGAGTTACAAACATTTACGTTACGAACTCGTATTTATGAAGGGATGGAGAAACAAGAGGTGAGAGGAAATCCACCCCTAGGAAGGGAAATTCACACTCCTTAAGAGTTATCATGGGAAAAAGGTGTCTCCACTAAAGGTTTATCACCAATCCTTGTTTCTATGATAACCCCAAAATTTTCAAAATTCAAATGTCACAGGGACAGAAAGTGAGATGAAATATTCTGAACAGGGGCACATACAGCGAAGCAAACATGACAGGGGTGCTAACCCTTCCTTGTGCTATACAAAAAACTTTTTTTTTTTGGTGGAGCTACACTAAAAAAAAAAAAAAAGTACTTGTTTCAACTTACAAATTCAACTTAAAGGACAAACCTACAGACCCCATCATGTTCGTAACCCAGAGATTGCCTGTATAGCATGGCAATCAAACTACAATTGAACAGTCCATACATCACAAAATGCATTCTGTTAAAATGGTAGAGATAGTGATAATTCCATACTGACAACAACAAGAAAAGTAACCACAGGGCTCAGATTCCGTAAATGTCGGTCACTTTCCTGACCCAATCATATCTGGTGGGAATCAGGGATGGTTTTCCATAATAAGGGGACAATCACTTGGTTGCATTTAAAGGGTTAGTTCACCTTTACCGAAAAAAAAAACAAATAAAAAAAACTGCCTATACAGGTACGTGGTGATTGTAGATAAAAACAAACTGTGCAGCTTTGACAAAATGTTAAATAATGTCCTTGCTATAGACCATGTATGTACCTCCCAAAGCCTGACTGATAAACTCCTAGAGATGGCATCATCCTGTCCTGCCTTGTTGCTAGGACATTTCTAATGAACTTTCAACCATAACTGCTCATGCCCCCCCGCTATCAAAGGCATGCTCTGAGCTCAGTGATGCTACAATGGAGGTGATAGTGAGCAGCAACTGTGCAGGAGATTGAGAGCTCGCCCCTTGGAGTGTCTTAGCAATGTCCTCACAGGGAGGGATGCCACCTCTGGGAGTTTCTCAGCCAGGCTTTGTGAAGTATGTAAAAAAGGTCTAAACCTATAGCGAGGACATTATCCTTTAGGACATTATCCAACTTGTTGCTAGGATGTTGCTGCTCCTAGTCGTTACTGCCAATGGTGCAATGGTGCTCTTGTGCTGCCCTAATCGACGCTAAAATTGGGCCCCTCCCACCCACCCCCCAGCCCACACCACCACTAAAATTGGACACCGCCAAGATCACATCCCCCCCCCCCCAACATTTCTCCCCGTGCCGCCACTCTGCCAAAAACACCCCTCCCCCCGCCACCTGCAAAGAGAGAGCGATTTCATGAAGCACTAACCCTAACCTCTCCGGGGCCAAGCCAGTGTCTTCCTTCCTTGTACGGGAAGTCTACACCCTCTAGCTGCGCGCATCCTCCTTGCATTCTATGGTGGATCCTCATCAGGTCCCCCGGTCCTCGGCCCTCCGCCCACCCCCCCCACCCAAACTGCCATCTTAGGCAAATGCCTTGTTTTCCTCCCGGTAAATATGTCGCTGGTTACTGCTCCACCCACCATCACAAGAGGTAAGCTCTTAAACCACTACACATTGCAGAATCACAGAGCTCACAGCTACTGCAACAGGGAAGACATAACAGATGCAAGAGGGTTTGAATCAGCTGAAAGCGTCTTAGCAAAGTCCTAGCAAAAAGGCAGGCCAAGATGATGCAATTTCTGGGAGTTCTTAAGGCAGGATTAGGGAAGTACATAAATGGTCTATTGGTGGAGATTGAGCTAGAGAGGGGACTTCTATTGCACCTCATTACCAACACCCTTGGTAGTGATGACAGGAGGTGTGAGGATACAGAGTGGCAGATGTAGCAGGCAGTGCCAACTGCTGGATGCAGGATACAGATGACTGTGGGCCACCACAAAAGGACCAGAGAAGCAACACTGACACTTGATTAGAAGACAGGAGAAAAGCCAGGACACAAGCCAAAGTGAGGTATAGGAACAGAGTGAGGATACAAGTCGAGGTCAGGTAACAGCTGGGCAGTGAGGTAAAGAATCAGGAATTCAGATACACAGGCCAAGGTCACAACAGGTAGACGGGAATCCAAAGACAGGTCAAAAGCAAGCTACACAGGATGGCAAACGTAGCAGGTCAGGACGCAGGTAAATCAAGAACTAGCTAAAGACCACTTAAAAGTCTTTTACAATCAACCCAGCTTAAATGCCAATACCATTGCCAAGCAAGCATATGCTCCCATGTCACAGTCAGGGGTCAGGCTCAGAGACCAGTAGCTATAGCAGTAGAGATGAAGGAGGCTCACCCGAGGCATGGGGTTTAAGCAGTAACTGATAGTCACCCGAGCTCCTGATGGTGGAGATGAGTTTTGCTGCATTTTAGTGCCTGGTTGTGGTCTCCAGAATCGCCCCACCAGAAGCTGAGCAAGATGGGATCCAGTAACAGATGTAGAAGGTAAGGATCAAGCAGAAGCATAGTTGGTAAACAAGCCAAAAGGTTGGTAACAAGTGGTTGCAGGTTTGGATCAAGCAGAAGCGAGACTAAGAACAAGCCAAAAGGTTGGTAACAAGTGGTTGCAGGTTTGGATCAAGCAGAAGCGTAGACTAGGAACAAGCCAAAAGGTTGGTAACAAGTGGTTGCAGGTTTGGATCAAGCAGAAGCGTAGACTAGGAACAAGCCAAAAGGTTGGTAACAAGTGGTTGCAGGTTTGGATCAAGCAGAAGGGTAGACTAGGAACAAGCCAAAAGGTTGGTAACAAGTGGTTGCAGGTTTGGATCAAGCAGAAGGGTAGACTAGGAACAAGCCAAAAGGTTGGTAACAAGTGGTTGCAGGTTTGGATCAAGCAGAAGCATAGACTAGGAACAAGCCAAAAGGTTGGTAACAAGTGGTTGCAGGTTTGGATCAAGCAGAAGAGTAGACTAGGAACAAGCCAAAAGGTTGGTAACAAGTGGTTGCAGGTTTGGATCAAGCAGAAGAGTAGACTAGGAACAAGCCAAAAGGTTGGTAACAAGTGGTTGCAGGTTTGGATCAAGCAGAAGCGTAGACTAGGAACAAGCCAAAAGGTTGGTAACAAGTGGTGGTGAAGATACGGCGGCAGCAGCAGAGACAAGAGGGAGATATTGACTGAAGAGAGCACAGTAGTCTGTCAAACAGGACATGCAAAGGCACAACTTTAATAGGAAGTTAATGGAAGGAGCAAAGGGTTCAAGGTTCATGACAAAAGACACAAGGTAAGGTTGCCTTAAGAGATCAGACAAGTAGTTGACTGGCATCTCAGGTGGTTTATCAAGAGACATCGCCAGACACAGCAGAGGTCGCAAGTTCAGACCAGGATCCTGACAGCCTATGCATACACCTCTTAGCGTGCATACTAATACATGTCTTGTACTGAGCTTGTGCTTGGAAACATGAACATGTGCATGCAATGGTCTTCTCGTTCTAACACATTCTGGACTTTTCTTACACATACAGCAACTTTATTCAACTTTAGTCAAAACTGTACAATTTGTTTTCATCTACAGACTGTACAGGACCCCTTTACCTGTATAGACAGTTTCTTGGTAAAGGCGACCTAACCCTTTAACCCCTTTAAACAGCTGCCTGTCCTGACACAGAGATCCATGTACCGGACTTGTTTCTCACAGTCTGTATATAATTAAACCCTCATTGACATCGAATTCCTGGGAACAGAAAATGAAAGCTTGCACATTTGATATCAGTGGCTTCTCTCTTCAGAACAGTAGCATTGCTTCATTCAGACAGATCTGTAGATACATGGTGAATGACGGGCCTGTATACACTTGTTAGCCGGGTTACACGGAGTTTCCACACTGCAGGCTTCTCCATAGGTTACCCCAGGACAGGTCCTCAGATTGGACTGAAAAGCTGACGGAATTTCTCTACTTGCATGGAAAATCTGATGGGGTCTCCTCGTATAAACCATTTATTTTCACTTGAAGTGACCTCAGATAAACCATCTGGGCTTCATTTTCTTCCTGTCATCCGGGAGTCATTTGTACATTTACCATCGTAAAGAACGAAGGTCAATCTTCAGAGACCTCCAAAACAGACATATACAGTCCTTCCACAGGCTTCCAGATCTCCCCTCCCCCCCCCAATAAAAATAATTGCTTGGCTTGTCATATTTATAAATATAACTGAAGGCAAACATTTTTTTTGTTTAGTTTTGGACATAGTGGAGAGGGATTAGAACCCCTGCCAGTTTTTTATTGCGGTTTGTGCTCCCATTAGGGAGATTTACCCTATCTTATTGTCCTTTGAAGGTCAGTCCAAAATTTGGGGTTGTCACCAAAACAGTAATGGGGGAAAAACTTCCAATGTGGACATCAGTTTTGGGATTCACTGACTTTGAAGGAATTTCCTCTCGCATCTTGTTTTGGCTATGGGACAGGAAGTGAAAGGAAATCTCCCCAATGGTCCATAAGTGGCAGAAATAAAGCCTGACGGGTTATAACCCTCTATACAAAAGGAAAAAAAATGTTGCTTCAAGTTCTAATTTAAAGGGTTAGTTCTCTGTTACCAAAAACCTACTAGGCTGGTAAGAGGCC